CAGTGCAGGTGTCGAGTCGGAGTGATCGGTAGATCTTGCACGGCGTGTCCGAATCCTTACGCGGAAGTTACTCTTCGCGGCTGCGAGGTGGTGTACGACGGCTGTCCCAGGTCCTACGCGATGGGCCTCTGGTGGCCCCGTACCAAATTTGGAATGACCGCCGTAGAGGATTGTCCCGAAACGGCCGAGGGAAAGACGTCCAGATCCTGCGACGACAAGCTAGGCGGATGGCAGGAGCCCGATCTCTTCAATTGCACCTCGGAAGCTTTCATCGAGCAGAGGCATCAACTGGCGGCGTTGGAGACGAAAGATTTGACGCTCAACACGTACGTGGCGGTGAAGATAGCGAAGGACGTCCACAGGGCGGTGAATCTGACCAAAGAAATGTACGGCGCCGACTTGCTGATCGCGGAGTCTTTGCTGGTCGCGTTGTTGAAGTACGAGGAGAGCTTGGTCGGGTTGAACTTGACTCACAGTCAGGACAAGGACTACGTCTCCCATTTGGTTGGGATCGCTGGCAGCGTTTCGATGGCCAAATACGCGGACAAATGGTCGAGAATCGAGACCCTCACCGGCGATACTCCCGACAAGGTTCTGGACGCCATGGCGAATTACTTGAAGATTCTGACCGCGTCTCAACACGATACCTTTACCGATCCGTTCGAGGTGGTCGACGTTAACGTTGGTAAGCGAGAACAAACGATCCGATGGACAGTTTCGAGCAAAGAATCTTCAAAGTATTTATCCGAATTATTTATTTTGTAGTGTTAGGTTTGGACGTGGTGACTTCGGAGAGTTTATTCGGTTACGAGATGGACGAATACAAGGAAGATCCAACGGCTTCCACGTCTAGACCGGGCGAAGCGGATCAAAGAGTCGTTATACCCGATACGTCGGCGTTTCTATCGGCACCCACGCATTTCGGGCCGTCGATCGCCTTTCCCAAGTACAATAATTATATGCCGGATCCGAGCAGATTCGATCCGTATTCGAAGATACGCGTACCCCTGAGCGTGTTGGGCATCAAACCTTTGGCGCAAGGGGAATTAAACGTTAAGAAAAGTTTGGTCAATCGGAAGGCTGTGCTGAGTTACGTGCAATACAAACAGTTGGGTGCCCTGTTACCTCGGAGGTAAGTAGCCGACGAGATTCTTGTCTAGATGAAAATTTCGAGTGATTCGAAAGTAACGAGAATTGAAATTAATCTTGCTTAGATTCGACGATTCGGTGACGGTAAGATGGGGCGTCGAAGTAGCTGTGGGATCGCCAGTTGTGACCGTATCCGTTTTGGTACCTTGCGAAAACGGTCACGAATCGCTGACTGGAATTCCTCTACAGTCACCGGTTCAAATTAGTCTTTGGCTCAGCGAGAAAGACGATCTGAAGACTAGAATAAATCCGCAGTGCGTGCATTGGAGCACGGCTAGAGGGTGAGACTTTTGTTTCTTGCGTCGTCCGGTTGAATCAATCTATTGTTAAATTTTGTACGTTTTCAGGGTCGGCGAATGGAGTCGAATGGGTTGCACCACCGAAGTCGAGGACGATTCGTTGTCCTATGGCACGGTTGTAAACTGTTCTTGCTTACAGTTGTCCACTTTCGCGATATTAACGGACGTCCTCGACCTAGAGTACGTCCCGGAGCCGTCCCTTTTGGAAGACGTGACCAGTTACAGCGCGTTTATGCTCGCTTTGCCTTTGTTGCTGTCCGCTTTGCTCATTTTGTCCTTGATACGCGGCGGTGGCACCAACTCCAACAGTATTCACAAAAATTTGGTAATGTGCGTCTTCTTCGCCGAGGTGCTCTATCTCATCGCGCTAAAAGCCAGAAGTCCTCTAGTCTCGAACGAATTTCCGTGCAAATTGACGGCGATCGGTTTACATTACGCCTGGTTGAGCACGTTCTCGTGGACTCTGGTAGATTCCATTCACCTCTATCGAATGCTCACCGAACTGAGGGACGTGAACCATGGACAGATGAGATTTTATTATACGATGGGATACGCTGCTCCAGCTATTATCGTTGGACTGACGATCGGCGTTAGAGCTGACCAATACGGAAACTTCTATTTGTATGCAAACCGTTGAAAAGCTTGTAATCGCGTAACGAATCGAAACGTCTCGGTCTTAACTCTCCTATATGTTTCAGTTGCTGGTTATCGATCTATGAAACTGTGATTTGGTCGCTGATAGGACCAGTCTGCCTGGCGGTGTTCGTAAACTTTTGTATTCTCGTAATGTCCGTACGGGCGGCGTTCACGCTAAAGGAACACATTCTGGGCTTCGGAAATTTAAGGACGCTGCTCTGGTTGTCCGTAGCGTCGTTGCCTTTGCTTGGGTCCACTTGGACTCTAACGGTTCTCAACGCGTCCGAGAACTCTCCAACTTTGTCGTACTTGCTCAGCATAGCGGTTGTCGTTCACGCGGCGTTCAGTTTGATCGGTTATTGCTTCGTCAATGGCAGAGTACGTAGAAATTTATACTTGAGTTTGTTAAGATGCATCGGAAAGAAGACGCCTTTGTTGGAAGGAAGCATGGGAAATGGCAGCAGCAGTCAGAATGTAAACGGCCACTCGGTACGTTGAACGATTCTACGAAAAGTGGAACGAATAAGTTGAAACGTTAAAACTGCGAATCGTGTTGCAGCGGTCTGCGTTGGCCTATTCCTCGACGTATAGCGGAGCGGAATCGGTGTGTCGAAGGGTTCACGTAGGGGTTTCGACGAGTAGTACAACTTCTCGAAGTACAAATAAAACTGGGTCCAGTCCGTATCGTAGCGATACTCATTTAAGGCATACGTCAACGTCCACGAGTAATTATAACAGCGACAGAGATCCTTATATGTCGTCTAGAAGTCATCGATCGACCTTACACTCCAGACAAGGTATTTTTTTCGAGTCTTTTGGGTGAATGGAGGGTGAGGGGCAGCGATATCGTGTTACTCGATGATTTTTTGATCGGGTATAATTACCTATAGAAGCAACGGAACCGCGAAATCAACGCAGAGATTCCGAATCCGATTCGGACGGGTCTCAAGCGGAAGGCGGCGGAAGGAGCTTAGACCTCGCGAGCTCCCACAGCTCGGACGAAGAAGACGTCGCGTCCAGGTCGCATAGAAACATGGGCGTCTCGACGCAACAACCCGTTCCGCACAGCTACTTGCCTAACATTCACACCAATCCAGCCGAACACTTGAACATACTTTGCTCAAACACGGAACTCTTCCCAAATATTAAACCTATCTACGCGCCTAGATGGAGTTCCCAGCTACCGGAAGCGTACCTGTCATCGAACGGTGAGTGCTTTCGCCTTCGCGAAAACTTGGAAAGCTGATCATTTCCGTGCGATCGATAAAAGAGTGAAAAATGTTTTATTTGTAGTAATGGACGTCCGCGGAAGCCAATGGTCGGGTGGTACGATGTCCGATAACGAAATGGCCTCGAACAAGACTTCCAGTCCGAATCCACTGCCTTACCCCGAAATGAACTCGCCCCGAAAAAGTCAAGCGGATGAAAATTATTCCGAAGGCGAGGAGAAGCTTCATCATCTAGGCGAAAAGTATCTGTTTCCGTACACGGCCGAAGAGGATCACACCGTCTCGCCTACGCCGTACATCCTACCCATGTCTTCCCGTATTCTCGCGTCCAGCATGAGTCATCACTCGCAGAACTCGAATCACGAAAACCTGAGCGGTTCCGAGAGGTATGGAAGCTTGAAACGCGGACAGAGCTTGCACGGGTCGCAGCACGACAATCTCAGCGGCTCGGAGAGGTACGGTAGCCTAAAACGAGGTAAAATCACACCGACCGTGTTGGAAGACTCGCCAGAGTATATTCTACCGATGAGCGGTCGAATATTGTCCAGCTCGTTGACCCACGATTTACAACATAGCAACGAATTGGCCGCCCTCAGGCAACAGCAGCAGCAGCAGCAATACGAGCAAACGATTACGGAGACCGAGTAAGTGTCGCGTATCGTCTTTGTTCGTAAAAAGTAAAACTATTTCTTTAACGTTTGATCGATTAATCGTCTTGCAAATACTGTTTTGACCTAGTCCTCGATTTTCAAACCGAATAGTAGAGATACAATTCGACTAACATCGTCTTCTCTATAATTCACGCTTACCCTGGAAAATGACAACAAATAGCGAAGAGGTAAGCGTTCGGAGGATTGCTGGTATCGATCACGTTTTAGCTCGCAAACTGTTCCATACGAACATTATCGATCGATCGAAACCGTAACCCTTGACGCACGGTTGCTAATTTCTCCTAATTCGTGTTGTTTCAGGAAGGATACTAACGCGGAAACGTCAGTGTGACGAGCTCCGTGCGACAAACAAACACCGTACAAAGTAATATAACGTACTATTAGCTTAAAACTCAAATGATTACGTATATATATATATATATATATTTCTTGGAGTCATTATTGCTCCGAGGTATATTTTAAGAGCGGCCATGACTGTACTTACGAAGTTAGCCATATCGATTAGTATGTTTGCGCGAGTGCCTGATCGTATCTCTATATACATGCGTATGTTTGTCGATATTTTGTTTCGTGTGATGTTTAGCTTCGGGCTCGGAAGCGATTCTTCCGATATCTTCGTTCGTTATCGCGATCCGCGATTGCGATTAACAGCGCGAAATCTCGGAAGACCACAGATGATCTCTAGTTCATTCCATCGTTCGTGTGATTAATATCTCGCTCTCTCTCTTTTTCTTCGTTATATCATCATTTCTTGACATAGTATCGTGCAATGTATACATTCCACTTCCATCTTACCTTTAGGTTATGACATTTTTTTAAAGAAACTTTACAACATTTTTATACATGCCATGGAAGAACCGTACAACTGTACGACGCAATTTTCATAGTTTTGTATATATTTATATGAAAAGAATGTGACAAAATACATAATTTATATATATCCTTCCATACGGCTGTCGCGACATTGGTAATTTTTTCCGTTTACTGCTGCTTAAGATCGGTGCAGTCCACAGGTCTCGTTGATAAAAATTACCTTTATTCTCATCGAAAATATAAATAAATTACAAAATATATATAGTTAGGTTAATGTTCGGAAGATCGTCGTCTTTAACGTAAAGTCAGTGTACTATCGTGTCAACGCCAAGAGTACTACTAGTCGGTTCTAGTTCAACTACGTCGAATAAAAAAGATCCGAAGCGTTAAACTATAGAACCATTCACGCAAATGCAACACGTAGCGCGTAATATATATTCGACACGTCTTTTCGGTACAGGTTACCTTTAAAAAACGACATTTCGTCGAGTTATTCGAACCCGAGAGTTATTTCTCGGCGTTTCGATATACTGTTTTTCTACCAAGGTACGTTACAACACACAGGTGGGTGATCCATGTCGAGTTACGCATTTTCAAGACTTTTTCATTTGGATTATTACAGGATTCTCTTACGTATATAATAACGTATACGAATGATGTGCAAATGTCAGAGATCTTTCCGTACAAATCCAATCGGATTCGATAGAGTTAACATTAACCACGCGAGAACTCCTGAAGCCGCTTCGCTAAACTAAGGACGATTCTACGATCGGATCTGCTGATTATGGCACGCGCACATTGTAAATTAACCGCGCTATAGGACTAGGAGATTTATCGTTGCTACACGGTGCTTTCTGTGTCAGACGCTACGGACAGCGTTTGAAGTTTCGGCACCGAGTAGTTCTCGCTGTGGCCGTGCGATTGCACGCGACTGGAGGCCCTCTCCAAAGTCGACGGGGCCGACGGCGTGTCTTGGTGCGCCTTGGGTGGAATCGGCGGTGGACTAACCTGAAAATCGAGCCAGATGAGACGCGCGAACGAATCGTAACGCGTACAAGATACTTGGTCGACAACGAGGTTACCTCTTGACCGGGCAGAGATTGCGAGACCTGAAACGAGCCGCTTACAAAATTCCCCGTGGAAACGTTTAGCGCGTTCATCACGGATGGTGGTGAAATGTTCATGATATCGTTGCATCTCGTTCGTGGCTCGAAATCCTCGTAACCAAGGTTGTTCAAGTTGGTCAAGTGCGATTGAAAGTCCAACAGACTAGCCGTCGATATGCCGCTGTCGCGGAGATCGTTCGGTTCGTTCTGTCCCTCCACGTCGTCGTCGGTGGTCCATTCGGTGTTACGCTTGTACGCTAAACGCTTCGGCGGCGCGGGTGGAACGACACCGGCGTTCGTATTCGAATCTCTCTTGTCGGGCGCTGAAACGCAAGAAAGAAAACGTAAAAACAAATCCGTTGTCCCACTTTCTATAATCACCCTGTACGTTTAACGAGTTTCCCGTCACGGTTAATAGCATTGTACGCGAGACTATCGCGACGGATCCTTGGTAAATATTACCGTGTCTCGTACGTTCCAAGGACATTTACTTTGCGCAGACGCGAAACTTACTGCAACCTCTAGGCGGCAGCGGCGGGGCTTGTTCGGGACCAGGCTCGCTCCAAGAAGTCCTCAAGCCCGTCTGTTCGACGCCGTCTGTCGGTGTCGGCAAAGAGTGTCTCAACGGCAACTTCGGACTGAGCGGTTTACTCAGGGTTCTCTGATGCGTGGGTCTAGGCGGGGTGGTGCCGTAACCCACCGAACGTGGCCGCACTTCTCGTTGCGGAATAGGTGGCGGGCAGCCGTCCACTTTTGTGTAGAACCCTTCGTCTTCCAGCAGACCGTCGTCCGCGTGAGAGGATCTGGAGCCAACGGTATCCAACGTAGCCGGTCGTTGCTTCTCGTTTACGGGTAACGGAGGCAGCGGTGAGCTGAACAAAGCGAAGCAAAACAGAACGCGTACAAAAAGGAAAGAAAAGGAAAGAAGGTATACGCGGCGAATAATTACTTGACGATGCTGTCCTGAAGAAGCGTGCGTTGCCTAGCCAACGGCCCGAGACCTTGCTTCAACTGCGTAAATCTTTCGTTCAGTCTTTTGTGTAATGGCTGTACTCCCGGTGGAGCGATCTGCCCATGTAAAGTGAGGCCAGCTTCCAAAACGCTCATCTGATCGAGAATCAAAGCTTTCAGTCGGTTCACGTGCGGCACCATGTCGGGATTCTGTCTAGCGAATTCAGGAGTAAGAAAGGCTTCTTGATATTTGGTGATGCCGCCCATCACGTTCGCGTCGATGATTCCCTGAAGTCTCATGCTGAAAGGATTAATATTTCGATGAGGTTCGGCAGTGTATTGCGCGACTAGTCTCCTCAGTTCTCTCTCCACGCTCTGCATCGTTTCGCAGGCGTACTGTACAGGTGCCAGTAACTCGGATCTCTTCTCGATCACCTCGAACCACCTCAATATACCGGGTAGCTTGGCCTCGGTAGTCAGCGCGGTCCTCTCGATCCAGAGAGACTTGAACTCGTTCTCGCGATCGACCGGGCCCCTGTGAAGCGGCCTGTCGAAGATAAACTTTCGGACGTCGTTCACTAAATAGAACGCAACGATCCTCTCCGGGACTTCTGCACCCCGACATGCCAGACTGCTCTCCTCGGGTATCGGTTTCACGTTGCAAATTTGTATATCTGAAAGATTACGATTCTAGAGAACGAACCTCCGAACGATAGAAGAGAAAAATGAGCGTCGGTGATATTACATTGTCCCTCGGATGCGAGGATGGTTTCGTCGGGCGGGGAATTCTTCATTAATATCTGTGCGCTTGGAAATTCAGTCTGTAGTCGTTGCGTGAATGCCCCTATTCGCTCGTACTCTAAACCGCGATAGATGAATAGTTTATTCTGAAACGTCGAGATCAAGATAGAATTACGCTCTGCTTTTTTTTTTTTCGAACATTGGCCAACGCGAATAGTTCTTACCCTAACGAAAAGTGGAAAACTAAGACCGTAGAAACCGACACGGAAATACTCCGGTTCCGGTCGAAGCTGCGTGAGTATGTTGTCCAGGAACTTGGCTTGCAGCTTTAAAACGTGACTCAGTTTCGCGTAATCGTACAATTTCGTTTCGTACAGCACCGCCAATTCCTTGCACAAGGGTATGCCCTTCTCCCAACACTTGCCTCGGTCCAAATAGTGAATGATCTTGTGATAGAGGAGCTCCTTTCTCTGCCACTCTGGTTGCTGGGGATGCGAGTGATCGGGGGGCAGGGTCGCGGAACTCCAGCCAAGTTGATCGGCGTACAGTTTCATCGTGAATCCTGCCTCTGTGTAGTTCTCGGCCGCCAGGTGCAGATCGTGAAGTTTGTATATGTATCGCAGGTACATCTCCTTTCGGTTGAACTCATTTTTGTAGAAATTCTGTAAAAGAAGCAAAGACAATCCCATTTCGGTCGCGAAACTATACGGATTATAATCGAGATCTCCGGATGACATCGAGACGACAACTGCCGAGCTACGATACTTCGAAATCGTATATGCGTTGTTCTTTAGACAATCAGTGATTCGACTAACGCGATTAACACGTTCGAGTATCGACGCGACGCCGACGTGGGTGCGTGGCACAGCTGCGACAATGTTTTGCTCCGATACACTTGGATTCGCGCTTACCAATAAATTAACGGTACACGACATACGCTTGTCGCGATTTTCGTCGCCTTGAATCACGCTTCTGTAGTCCAAAAGTCTCTCCAGTAGCCGCGTGATCGAAGTGATGAACGCCGTTCCGCTGTCTTTCCATGCGGGATCCTCGGACTGGACTCTGTCCAATAGTCTGCGGATAAAAATAAATCGCTACACGTTAGAAATGTTTCGCTAACAACGATTTCGATGGTTCGAAAGCGATAGCTGGTGGACTTACACGGCGCTGAGGTGTTCCCTAAAGCAGCGTGAAATTCGAAATCGAAACATTTTTTAATATAATCGCGCGGCGTTCGACGCGACGACCAGTCTTGGTTCGAAACGTTGGCAAACATTGGAAACGAACGTCGAAACTTACATAGTGTTGAACAACCGCCTGTACTCGTCGTCGCCTTTGTTCTCGCTGATCAAGATGTCCAGTTTGTCGATCAATTCCGACTCGACGGACCTGAAGCTGCCTCGAGCCCGTTGCTCGCACTCCATCATGTCGAAAAAGATGTGCAGAGTAGCTTTCCTCAGCTCGCTTTCAGGGACCAGAGTGACCTCTAAGAACGGTCCCACCATTCCAGGAATGAATTCCAGCTTACGATCGCCCAAATGGGACCACATCGAGAGTATTTGAAAGCCCATCAGTACCCTCATGTCCCCGTACTTTTCGACGATCTTTTCGCGCTTCACCTCGGAGAACTGCTCGAGCTGGAGGGATGGCTGGGTGAGATATGCCACGGCCAAATTGAAATACGTCGACCAGAGCTGCGAGTCGAAGCTGCCGTGCAGAAAACGAAAAGCCAGAGGTTGAGCGAGCTCTTGCAAAGACTCGAGGATCACGTTGTTTGCCTGCATTCTGATCACCAGCCAATCGGGAGGGAACACCTCTTGCCTGACGAGGTCGCGAAGGACCAGAAACACTCGCAGAAGAAAGTCCTTGAGGGGCTTTCGTTCACCGGCGTGCGTCAACTCTTCCCAAAGTCTGACGTAGTGATATTCGTCGAGAAGCTGAAGCAGCCCGATCAGGCAAGCTACCAGACAGCCCAAAACGGTGCCGCTCGTGTTTATCACGATCAGAATGGTCTGTATCAAAACGTCGAGGATCGACAGGCACAAAGTCTCCACGTCGTGGTGAATGCAGTTGTTCACTTTGTTCGCGTCGCGTCCCCTCTTGTGCAGAAAGCTGAGTATCTCCCCGAGGATATCGGTGCAGGTGCGCAGTTCCTCCCGTCTGACCAAGTGAATCCTCAGGTGTCTACACATGGTGACCAGAAGCAAGTTTCGACTCTCGTCGTCGTCGCGGAACAACGAGGACGTGGTCAGATTCTTGATGGCCGTCAGTTTGGCCTGCGTGAGCTGCAACGGCGGCTCTCGCGGCACCATGTCGAGCATCGTGCAGGTCAGCTTGGCCACCTCCAGCACCGGCAATACGGCGACCAGCTGCTCGAAAACCGCCGAGATCGAGTGGAGCAGAGCGATCTGTGAATGAAGCACCGTCTCGAACGGGTTGCTCAGCATCGTGTTGAACGCCGCGAACACGCGATAGATGTCTCGTTTGAAGCTGTCCTCGTACTGGCCGGCCGTCGCTCTCGCGAACAGGAGTCGACTTTGGATGATGAACTTGAAAATGTACTCGAGAGAACGGAAGCACTTGATGATGGGTTCCTGCTTCTCCGCGGCGCTAGCCCAATCCGCGCAATGTTGAACGCTGCTCAGGAGACCCTTGTATACCAACGCCGCGGCGAAGTGGCCGGAAATGTAAGCGTCCATCACCGGCTTGAAGTGCTCGAACTTGGAGTCCTCGAGGAGGCTGAAGATGGAGACCAACACTTGAAAGACCAGGCCCGAGTGGGCCGTGGAGTTCCCGTCCTCCGTGTGAAACATCGAGAAGAGCGCGTCCAAGATGTCCTGCAAGAACTTTACCAACTCCTCGCCGTCGAGCCGCAACACGCGACCCAGAGCCTCCGAGATACGTTCGGGATGGGCTTTCCACTGAAGCAGGCTCAGCAAATCGACGTTTTGCGTCAATTTCGTGCTGCAAAGCAACGTGTGCACCATCACGGTCTCCTTCGGGGATCTGGAGAACGCTGGAGAACCTGAGAATACGCGCGAGAAAAAGACGGACGTTAAAAAGATTCGGTATTTTTGGATCGTCGCGACGGTGTTGTACGCGGACTACCTAACCCTTTATACCTGTCACGTTTGGTTCCCGCGCGCTACTTGGCAGAGATAGGTAACTCAACGAATCCAACTTGGATCGGTCCTCGCACTTGTAAATGTACAACTCGTGAAGGCCATCCTGAAGCGTGGCTCCTCCGGGTTCCATGAGGCGCACGAACGCGAAGGAGAACAGCTTCTTGTCGTTTTTCTCGCGCGCTAAGATCAAACATAAAACCGTTGTCGTTAGGTGCGACTTGGCTCTACTTGATATCGATTAACAGAATTTTAGAATCGTCTTACTGGAGCAGTGTCGAAACTCGAAACGAACGTGGCTCCCGTAAAAGTTGTCGATGGGTATCGCCAAGCGAACGGTTTCGGCCCAGGCAGGACTGTTGTGATGGTAAATGACTAAACTTTGGTACTCGGAGCTGCCCTCCATTCCAGCGGCTCCGAACAAGCAGTCTTCCAAAGGCTGCCCGTCGGCGTCCAACACCAATATCGTTACCTAACGTTCGGCACACGTTTTAGTTACGACACGACCAAAGTAGATTTCGCGCGATTTTACGATTCATCCACGATACCTCGATATTTTTCCCGGTCGACTTTCCACCCCGCTCGAACTCTCCGCGCTCCAAATTCAGGTACAAGTCGTTCCGTACGTCGCCCGGCATGATCACGTCGGAGAAGCCGAGTTTCTTCGTCAGACAGATGTTGTTGAAGAGCAACGGATTCTCCTCCCTCACCTGAGACAATTCGCCGTGAAGAACGCGCAGAGACACCTCTATGCCGTAATTCGGTTGCCCCGGAAGCGGGGAGCACTTGTTGTTGCGAATGATCTGCTCGTGCAGCTGGTGAAAGTCCTTCTCTTCTCCTTGATATACCTGAAGCGTTAAAGTTGGTTCACGTTGTTACGCGGACGGCGAACAATTTTTCCCATTTTTCCAACGGCAAACAGCTTCGCACGTCTTCCGTTCCTTTCGGAATAGAATCCGGAGCACGTTGACCAGTCGAAAAGCATTTACAACCCCGAAACCGGAAGAATCGGTTTTCGAATTTCCTGCGGCGGTGTTACCTTGAGCGTGTTCTCTATTTCCTCGGTATGATCCTGCGTGGCTTCGGCGAGGGAGAGAACGGCGACGCCGTGGGGCCGTCTGTACGTGGCGGTTCCTGATTTGTTTTTGCTGGAATCGGAGTACAGCATTCTCCCGCAACGCATCACGTGCGCGACCATGTAAAGATCCCTGCCAAGGTCCGCGTTACCGAGATCGGTAAAGACCGTGCAGTTGCTGTGGATCTTCTCCACGAAGCTGGAAAAGCCCTCCTTCGAGATCCGTACCAGGAAACGTTCGCTCAGGTATTGAGAACTCTTGGCGTTGTACAGGGAGAAATAGATCTCGGCGTGCTCGCCGATGGAATGACCAAAGTCCCTCATGCAGAAGTGGAGGTGATGCGTCAGGACCTTTTTGTGCTCCTTTCGTCTGAGGGTTCCCCTCGCCGACGCCCCCTGCGAGTTTTCCGCGCTCTGCACGTGCTGAAACCGATCGAACGCGCATCTCGTCACCGACGCGACGCCAAGTGCTACCGATCATCTCTAGTTCTGCCCCTTCCTACCAAATTCTCCTCTTTTAACTTGGAGCTACAACCTGGCCCAGTTACCGCGATTACCCTCTACCTTTACGCTATTTACAAATAGTCCCGCTAATATCGTTTCGACTATAGCGAGCGAAATATCGATAGCCATTTCAACAATTTCACTCCGTCTATAAAATGGAATACAATGTCCGGCGGTGGCCGGTTCGTGTACGACGCAACAGCACGTGCAACGATTCGATCTCGACTTCATATTCAATTCTTGCGGAGCACTCGAAACGGTCAGCTCTCCGGTTAGAATTTCAACGAGCTTCAGCGATACGCGCGCGGCAAACTATATCGCTGTCTTTCTGCTTTCCCCTCTGTCCTTTTATTCGACATATCTATCGAACCTTGCCACCACTCGACCGCTGTATTCTCCTTTATTTCCGCGATCGCAGACTCGGCGTTCGTATCGGCGTAAAGCACCGTTCCGCGTACGTATCGCCTCGATGCAATTGCATCGAACGGCTATCGATATTTCCGTCTATGCGTAATTACCACGTGATAAAGTTCAACGACAGACATGGTATCCGGGTCCACCATGTGGGCACCCTGACGAGGTACCAGATCCAAACCCAGTTTCCTGAAACATTAAAAATTCGATGCACGGTTAGGCGAAACTGTAACGAGAAAAATAAAAACTAACGTTTGGCGCGGATGGGTCTCGCGTCGATCCCTTCGCCACGCGGTATTTTCATTTCGAGCAATCAAAGCGTGGGCTCTCGAGTTGCATCGTCAAGTTTTGCGAAAGTCGATTTCGCTGAGGTTCGCAGGGGTTAACGGACACGGGCCATCGGAAGCGACGCTTGTTCGCGTCGACTGCATATTCCCGGCAAACAAAACCGGTTGGAGGCTCGGACGTCATCGAGGATCATCGAGGATCATCGAGGATCATCGAGGATCATCGACGTACCTCGCAAAATCGATTGTCGTAGAAAATGGAGAGAGCGCGACCGGCGCGCAACCCAATTAAGCTCAGGCATCGCGCGTCGGTTTTCCAAGTTCACTTCTGAAGTGGCCGAAGCTGTATACTTATTGTTAGTTAACTTCCCATGACCCCGGTCGACCGCATGCCATAGGACCGACGTGTTCTCGAATGCATCGGGGCCCTGCAGGGCCGGCTGTTCGCCGGGCTCCTCGCCAGTGGCCCCTTCACCTCGCAGGAATGCAGCTCCGCGTTCTACGCTTTTGCATCGTCAAAAGCGCGTTTTCGCTCGCAGAAAATCATTCGATGGTCTACCAAAGCTAACGCGTAAGGGAACCCCTTCGGAACGCGCTCCAACTCCCAACCGGTATATCTCTCGCGATTATCGTAATCGTTTCTCGCGATCGATTCCAAAATACCGCATGGCGAAGTTTCGATCTCGTTTTATCGTCGATACAAATATTCTCGAACCGGGACGAACCGTGGATTTCCAGCGGATTTTCGGCCGAATCGGGAGAATTAAGCGATACGTGAGAGGGCGGGCGTTGCTCTTGGTTTTCGCATCCTTCTCGTCGTCTCTCTATCCTCTACTAAGCCACGTCACCGATCTTGCCAATTCAGAGTATCGTCCTACGCCCTCGCGAACTCGTCGCATACGGCTGTGCCAAATGTTTCGCCGCGTCCGACGATTCGAGAGAGCGGTCCGGCAATTTCGAATCGAAACACCGGTTTGTTCGTGGTTTTTTGAAAAATGAAAAGTTCGATGTTGTTGGTTTCCGTAAGTTTTCGAGAGACCGTTTCACGACCCGAGGACGCGGTACGGTCCTGAGAGTCCCGAGAAGGTCCCCCCTCGGGCCCCTGTTGATGGAATGCAGGTGAGCAGGCAGAGTTCGATGCGTGGAGACAGGTACAGGCAATGTCCGCCGCGTCGCGTCGTCGGGACCTATGTTCCATTCCAAAGATATCGGATATATTCGCTGGCCAGCGACCAGGTTCGGTTCACCGCGAGCACCAACCTCTAGCCTTCCTCTTTCGCTGCCTTCTCCTCCGTTGCCTCGTCCCTCCGGATGACGAATTCGCGAGGATCTTTGACGTTCCTCTCCGTCTCCGTAAACCAACCCTGCAAGCTCACCCTCATCGAGCTTCGTCGAGAGGCTTCGTTTAGATATTCCTTTTTCCGGCCGTCAACGTTTCACCCGAGAAGCATCCTTGGCGGAATTCGGTAAGCATTCGGTAGCTTTAAACGCTGTAATTACGCCGGCGCTGCCTCGAGTCTTGTTCCCCGGTTTCTGCTTCGAACTGACAATCGATTATCAGCCTTTGTTCGCTTTGCACCGTTCTTCGCGATATCTTTATACACCGCGTTATTCTTCGTTGCTTCGAGTTGGATCGTTTTCCCGTTCTTTCTGGATTTCCTAAGAAGGCCTACCGAAATCGTTGAAACGAGAGTCGGCCGTGACGAAACGTTAGCCGTGGCGTCCTCTCGAGTATTTTCGTCCGAATCGAACGGTCGATTCAGCGATCACGTACGTCAGGACTCGTGTAAGGGCCTTCATGGACCGTCGGGTACGCACATACGCGTCGAGTTTGGCCTTCGTTCCGAGCAATTTATAACGGTTGACGAGGCACGCTCCGATTGAGAAAAGATGCTTTGCATATCAACGAGTCGGCTCCTGTGCCGCTCGTATACGAACGGTGGAGCTTTTCGTTGATCAAACAGAGAATTACGGCGTGCGAGAAACGCCGCGTAGAGCACAGCTGGTAAAAAGTATTGCCCGTCTCTGGCGTCGGGTACAGCGAGGATTACCTAAAAAGACCGGAACGAACTAGAGTGTACGTTTGCGATCGCGTAATCGTACGATTCATCGCGAGCAAGTAAAATCCATGGCAGTGTACGTCCGTCCGTTGCGGCGTGGTTTCACGCGAGCGTGTAAAACGGCCTTAATAGGAGTGTTTCCTGATCCCGGAACGAGTAACAAGACTCGTACGTACGGCAAAGGGTTCGTGGGAAGACGAACGTCGAGTCTGGTTCGCGGTAGAGTACTCGCTCACGAGCACGAAAACCGTGCACGTATTCTCACCTCCACCGACGCGCTCCGCCGCGTCGACTCGTCGCTGCACTCCCGGAGTGCAGTTGCAGTTCGCCGCTGCGTTCGGCTCGGCCAGAGGACAGAGCTCGTGGTAGTGGTAGCAGCAATAGATGTCAGGGACAAATCCTCGAGCCCCCACGATCTCAATTAGATCAAATGACGACCGATTAAGCGTGATTAGCCGCGTACCTTTCGGTTTTTCGTCGTTGACGGTCGCGAACGTGGCCGTTCCGCCGCTACGTGAGAACGATGCTGAAATTTTCAGACGTAGCAAACTCTTTTCGATCCGAGAACGATTTTTCCAAACCGGAACACGAATAACATTCTATCTCGATCTTATTCGTAAGCCGAATTCAATTCCAGCCAAAGGCATGACTTTGGTCGTTGAAACCGTTTCATTGGCGTTTTCGTTTTTTTTTTTTTTTTTTCGATTTTTAAGAGACCGAGGGGGAGGATGAAAACACGAGTTCCGCTCGAAAAGGGGCACGGAGAACCCTCGACGCCGACGCTGTTGCCAGGTGTACGCTTATTAAGTTCGACGATCGCCGCCATTCATTAAATTTCTTTCACCAAGGTAATAGCGCATCGGTAGCAGCGTATCATGAAACTCCCCTCTACCTAGGCTCGTTTTCTTCTCGCTGGTGAACGCGCTACCTCTCATCGTACAGCCCTGGGCCCGAGTAGAACAACGCCGGGCACCGTGCTACGCCGAGCCGAACGCAAAAAGAAAGGGACTACCTTGCGGGGAGTGCGGCCAGCGTTTCCCAACCTTCGGGAACCTTTTTCGAACAGCTTTTGCAAACGCTTTTCCGGCTAACGTAAACGTAAATTTGGCTCGGAGACATATCTTCTCAGCTTCTCGCGGGAAAAAGCTTCTTGGCTCCCCTTCTCGTGTTTTCCGAGTTGGAGTTTCGCCCGCGCTTACGTATTAAAATCGACGGATTGCAACACAACGAGATCGAATTGTCCTCGACGGTTTCGACGACACGCGCGATCCGTTAGATTCAGAATAAAAAATATTTCGCGGTGAAACGTGCACGCGACGCGACGCTAACGCAATCGTGCGGTCGTCGAGTTCGGAGGCTCGGAAGGCGATTGGGAAACCCTGAAACGGTGGACCCCGGCGCGGTTATGCAGTCAGAAGTTTCATCCCGTACCACCGCGTTACCCGAACAAGGAAGCAAAACGCCGTCGAAGAATGAACGACGAAGAAAGGAACAGAAGGTTAAGGGACAAGGCGTCGCGCCGGGAGAAAGGGAGACGCGCAGAGGGCAGTGCACGCGAGGCGGAGCCGCGAGGCACGCTCATTAGAAATAATAATAATTACCGCGACGTAGGTAATAAATGTTGCCGTTTGCCCGATACACGCCTAACTGGGAAGTAAGTTAACCACCACCGCTGGCACGTGGTAATTAAATATACGAAACACCGTCGCCGGAATGATTTATTTCTCGTCGACGCTCGGTCTCCCGAAACTCTGTCTACCGTCGGCACGATCCTCGACGTCAAAGTTGCCGAGAAACGACAACGGACGAACAAAGTCCAGGGAGTCGTTGCACGGAACCGTTATTCGCGTACCTGTACGAATAAGCTACGAGACATGGTCGAAATACGCTCCGACTGACGGGGCAGTCCAGGGAAAGTAAAAAATGTTCGAATGCGTGCTCTCGTCGAATTCGGAGCCTTTCTTTCGATGTCAAAAATCGAAGAAGGAACAGAGAAAGGGGAACGCAAGGGGAGGAGCACGAGGAGAGGCTTTAAAGAGCCGAAGCGAGCCTCTTCTCGCAGGTAGAACAGGTTCCCGGCATGGTTACCGCGTATTCACCGAGCTGAAAACCTTGAGCTCTACGGACGGAGAGAAAGAAGCACACGGTTCTCTCTGTTCGGCTATGGTGCCGGGTGGCTGCGGTTGTTCTTTACAGACACACGATACGAATCAAAAATTCCGAGTTCGACTCGTACGAAACGGGTTGCTTCAGGAAATGGCGGCTTTCCACGTATCATTCGACGCGACGAGCCGAGTACGAATACTCCGTACTTGTGCTTCTCGAACTTTTCGAGGCACCCAGACAAGTGCGATATTGGTCTTTCGATATATATATGTATTTAAAAAACGAATAATCGCGATTCTTGATCGCAAAAGGTCTCGAAGCGGATACACGTATTTTTGTGCGGAAGATTGGTGAAAACGAGGGGGACTCGAAGGCGAGGAAGAAGAGAACACGGTGCAAGAGTATATTCACAGCGAATCGTGGTCGCGTTGGTGATTTCTAGAGGCGACTATACGCACCTGATAGAGTCGCCCCCACGCTCGAAACTCGCCCGACGGCGAGCACAAGATGGCGGGGTAGTAGTGGGGCCCGGAACGAGTCCCTGACTCTCTCGGTTCAGTCGCCGTTCGTTCGCCGGGCCCCGTCGTCGATGCGTTACGCGGCTTCACCCGGAACCTCGAAATTCTCCTCGAAAATATTCGTTTGCGCGTCGACCGCGTCGGAGGGAAAAGGAGGGGGAGAACGAGAACTCTCGACACGACCGCGACGACGCGTTGATTGCTCTTATCCTTCCTCTCTCGCGCTTCGGTCGCGTTAACGAGGCTCGAAACGAATTCGAGCCGATCGGATTCGAGCGAAAAGGTGAGTTCACGCGAGGTGCGGTACTTGGTGGTTGATCGGTTACGCGCATCGATCATCGACCGTTGAACACGAGAAAAAGAAGCCAGCCACATCACGGCCCGGTCCGCGAGATTTCGAAGAAAACGACGCCTCGCAGGAAGAAACAAGCCTGTCGACCAATAAGCGCGTGGTCAACGCGCAGCAATTGGCTCGTGGGAAAACAAAACAACGGAATCGAACGAATCTAGTTGCTTCTCTGGCGTGGATTTCGGAAACGAGTTTTCAGCCGGCTGTGCTGATTCATCAAAGGTACTGTCCACATAAAGTTCGCGATCATTTCTTTTTTCCGAATTCCCGTTGCGACACTACAACGTTGTACAGTGGTTAAACTTGTCGGTGGACGGCGTTGTTCGCGCTGTTTCACAGGACAATGACATCGATAATGGTCTTATCTCGAAAGAGTCATAAAAAATGCTCCGAAGGCGCCGTTATGTCCGCAACGGTGACCCATGAATCGACGCACGGGACACGCGTGACCTAACCTCGATATGTTTACGGCCATGTGTTTACAACGTGAATCGGCTAAAATGCGTAAATTTGCGATAACCTTATGTACCGACGAGACCGAGTTTCTCCTACGAACACGTGCCGCGCGCGTTACCGTACCCTTTGCTACACCGACCGACCGAGTTGCACGCGTTTTATTAAGGTCGTCCGTTAGACCTCAATTGCTCAGCCGTTCTATAAATCGTTTAATTACAAATTCTTCGAGATAAAATCTCATTGCGCAGCCAATGCCACCGATGATGAATGCTCGATCGTTCCAAGGAAAGAGACCGTGTCAGCGAAACGCTTTCGAGAACGAAACCCGTAAATGCCAGGTCAATGGTAAACGGTGTCCAGAGAATTAGGCGTGAGCACCACCGAGATAAAATTCCGATAAGAAAGGAAAAGGTTCTCGCATCCGCGTACGATTGTTTTAGAGTACAGGACGTTTCGAAACATAAGGCTCTGCGATTCCTCTCTATTAAACGAACCGAAATTGTGGGACACCCAGTATCCTCTATTATCTATTCATTCGAGGGTGTGGCAACGGACCACTGTGTGTACCTACGAGCTCCGAGTTTAACCACGTTCACCGAAAGTTTGTCGGAGATAATGAAAACACCGTTTCCAAGGGATTGTCCCGAAGGAACGAATAAAACGTCGTGTCCCTCGGTTTCTCGCATTCGTTCGGCGAGTAGCTCAAACTTTGCATAGACCGCGAGCCATGTCTTTAAGCGCGTTTAAGATGAAATTGACCCCCGTGGCCCACGAAGGATTCTTATCGTCCGTCTTTCGTTGCTATACTTTGGAAGAATGCTCTCAGCGGTAGCTTAACCTACGAAACGTAAACAAAAGATGACACGCTCGACGCACGAAAGCGAACCTCGGCTCTGTTTACGATGTTTCGGTAAATTCCATCGTAGTACAGCACGAACGTATGTTTTTACGTGAAATTCGATTCAACGTTGGTTGCTCTCGTCGAGCAAAACAACGGTCGCGATTCTTTGCGGTTCCTCGACCTCGAGATTCGATGAAAAATACCATCGGCGGCGGACAAGCTCTTAACTCTTAACTCTTAGCTCTTAACCCCGTTCGGAACGCGACACAGGCCACGTTAAAAGCCACGGCTGCACGTTTTACGCGGAGTGTCCCGCACGCTTGTCGTTGGAACTGGTTTGTCCGGAATGTAAATCCCGGAGGACCAACCGATCGTTCGATCCACTGTTCCCGGTACTTGTAATTTCGAACGTTTCACCGCGGTATTCAAAGTTACTCGATCACCCTGTAACAAACAAATAGAAACTCTGATCGACGATATCTTCGTATCCCAAAGGACGATTTCACAAACTGGAGGGAACTTTAGCTCGTTCGAGGACACGGATGTCGAACATCGATTCGTGTATCTCGTCCCTTTAGAAACGTCGTCAAACTAGGTATATTATTGTACGCGTTTTACGCGCAGTGTTCGCGTCCATACGCCGTAAAGAGGCAGAGGAAGCTGCACCGCGTGCGCTCCATCCGATAGTCTCGGTGTACGCAACTGTTCCCGAGGATGATGTGCCACGAAATGCAATACGCTTGTCGCGGTCTCCTTCTCTCGTGGATGTTTGCTCGTGTCCGTACGCGCACAGTGTAAAATTCTGCGTGGGTGTGCGAATGACCGCGTACATGCAACGCGCGGACCTTAGCAAGCGTAGTATTCCCGTTTCACGATCCTTTCTCCTTTTCGCTTCTGGAGGCGGACGATGTTTTAACGTGATTCATGAAACTCTCGGAAGATATTATATACTCCTACTTCCGGAGGCTGGTTGGGCGACGTGGTAAAAAGTATGACTAAATTAAGCCAGCTCTTCGACCTACGAACGACGCGATCGCGTCGTCTTCCGTTTGTCTATTACTCGTCGACTCGCATCGCTATCGAACACTTTGTCTCATCCTCGTAGTTGTCTCGTTGGAAAACGTTTCACGTGTCGCGCAATCATTGAACGCGCGGCGACGCAGCATCGCGTATAAATGTATTTACGATTCAGCGTCGAGTCTCGTTTGGCTCGTATTTCGTCCATCGATAGCGTAAAATCGCATCGGCGTTCACCTTTCACTCGACGACGACGCGAGTGCCCTTCACTCGGACGGCATTGTTCGTCCGCGATACGCGAGATACGATCCACGGGATGAAACGAGAGGTATATTTTGCTCGCTATCGTCGTTCCGGGCAAGTGTAATCTTCGAAAAATGTGTTCGTCGGACTCGGTTCTTTCCTTGTCCTCGAGGCTAAGTATTTACAAAGGTCGGGAGCGAGGAGAAGCAATATCGCGAAGAGATAGATGTATGCACACCGGGAGAGAAAAGTTTGCCCTACGGACGACACGGTGAGTTTATCGTACGATTCGTCACGCTTAAAGAGTTGCCGTGTTTCCGTGCAGTCCGCGTGCATCGTGAATGGACGAGAACCATGTTCTTACCATGTCCGTACGCAACGATTATTAAAAACAATCCATCCCGAGACGCGCGTCTCGTTTGCTGGCTTCGGACGGTTGCCGCAAACGCGACCCACCTAACTGTGAATCCCCTTTCCGCGGAGAGTCGCCGGACTCTCGACTCAACGTCGTCTGGAAAAAATGTCCACGCGCTACCTACGCGCGTGTCTTCCTCGTGGGTTTCCAACCAAGACCGTTAACTCGGTTGTTCGTCGTCGTGCAGGCGATAACGACTAATTTCGTGAGTGGAATTCGTGATCGTAACCAAGGGATCAACGGCCCGATCCTACGATGCGCGCAACGTGCCGAGACGTATGCGGTATGGTCCCGTGAAAGTGTTTGATTTTTTTTTCTTCCGAAGAAACAAAAGTAAATACATTTTCAGTGACTGTTTCTAAACGTGATCGGTACACGTACGTAACATCGGTATCGCGTTTATTCTGGTTGACCCAACGACTCGCACGACAAGTCGTAGATAGACGCCCGAGAAAGTCTCTTACGCTGTCCAGGCTTGAACAGACGACATTTGGATCCGTGTTTATCGAAAGTTTCATCGGTAATTTTGGAAAATAGCCTTTACGTCGAATATAGGTGCGGTGTCGAATCAACATCGCGGGACGGAACTCTATTCGATCGAGGCCTGCGATCGTGCGATCTATTCGAGTCGATGAAAATGCACGAGAGTTCCCGTAGCTCTTCCCGACCCTCTTAAATCTCGATAAACGTTTAATATAGTTTTCTCTCGGGCCGAGCACGCAGCTCGCCGGCATGGAATAAATTACGGAACGGAGTCTGCGTTCGCGGGAACATTGGCCGGCTAAATGGCATTTCGGGCTGTTTCATAACCCGCTGCTCTCGCGGCCGCGTTTCTCGATGCCACTCCGGCATCGAACGCCGTTTATTCCCACCGACTTTCCTACGAGCGAGTCCGGGAAAAATTGCCGCACCGAGAATCGATTCGAGTCTCGAGCACGTACGAGTTACACGCTCGCGTACCGTGCATTGCTCCCGATCGACAGTCGAACACGTTCCACCTACCAAAGTCACGGATCGGTTCTCGACGAGTTCTCGGTCTCCCGGGCTGCGACGTTCTTCTAGAACGCGCCTCGTCTACCGAAATCACGCGGACGTTGCGCAAAGTTTGCGGAACGAGGCGGGTGGTGGGTTCCTCCAACGCAAACACTGCTCGCTGGTTTCTTTATCCCGGTTCTCAGAACAAGTATCCCCTTATGGATATCGCCTAAGCAGCGATTCGCACGGCCCGAGTACTTCTCGATGCCGAACGCGAGAGCGCAGCGAATTCCTTGCTTGAAACGAAACTGTGGGTTGAAAGTTGCATCTGGGTCAAGTACAAATGTTGCCGCGTTTTGCAACTTTTTCTCGCGCGTACAAATCAATCGAACGTTGCCCAGACGCGAACGTACGTATCAAAGGTGAACCTTTTTCCTGCTTTACGAACGCGACGAGTACGTAGAACGAAAGAACGATTCCAACGCGCTTATATTCCTTTCCTTGGAATTATTTCTGCATCACCGTGCGCGTCACTCGGCGAGAATAAATCTGAACTAAGAAAAAGTAGCGTTTAACCGTAACTGGTTAGAGGTACGAATTCTAGACCTCGTTTCGATTATCCTCGAGTTAGGAACTGGAAAATCGGAGAGCGCGTAAATCTTGCTGGTACTTAACGCTTTGGTTTGCAGTCGGCATTTATCCTTCGTTAGCTTCTCCGGCGTATTGTCGCACAAATCAGGCGGCAGCTGGAATTTTCGTTTCGCGTGGCCGGTGTATCGCGGTTCGCGTGTACTAATTTCGCGCGGTATATACTTTGCGCGCGTAGATCGAATCGAAAGCGAAATTTGCTGAAAGTTCGATCTTGGAACCGCGCAAAATCGATCGTGCTCGCGGGACTTGGCCGAATAAGGAATCGATCGGGGCGTACTCGGGTCGCGCAATTCCAAGCCTGTTCTCAGCATCCGTAACCCGATAGGAGCGATTCGTGTAGAGAAGATCGGTGTGCGTTGCGGTCGCCAGAGTCAAACCCGCTGAAAAACCGCCGTGTCTCGCGGTTGCGCAGAATTCCAGTCTGTGTTTGAAAATCGAAACTCGATAATACCTGGCGATTACCTGCGCGGCCAGGAACCGGGACGATCATCGATGGCTAGCGAGAAACGTGCTACATACGATAGAAACCGATTCTTCGTTAGGTCTTGTAAATAGTACACCGTCTAACGTTTCGTTTTGCATCGACCGAACCTACGAGGTGTCACGAAACCGCCTTCCAGGCGGAGAAACACGAGGAGCGCCAAAGGGGGAAGACGTTCTTGATGAGGACTAATGGACCGTTCCAATAGCGGTTGGAGCAATCGTCCGAGTTGGCTGTAGAAAGCGTCGCGTCGACTCTTCTCGAGTCGTCGATATCCACTCCCGCGATACTCTCCGCGGTCCCCTTCTCGCGTTTCTCAAGAAACAGTCGAGTAACTGGTTTGACTCGTACGCTCGTTAACCGAGAGCGTTTCGTAGAAACGTGTAGCAAAGACCTCGTGAAACCGTTGTCACGGGAAATTGAACAGGTACGGATAAATTTCGATAGGGGCCAGTATTCGGACAAATAATTACATACGACGAGAGTATCGCATCGTCGAGCGCGGAGAGATAAGGTAACGTCTGTCGCTAGTTGAAAGAGGAGCGTGCAAAGATGATCGAAAAGCTGAATTAAAGAAAGCAACCGCTGAGAGGTGGAAAACGATACGCGTTTCCAGCGGAAACTTTAGATCGTTTTAAATCATCGGTTACGATGAAGCGACCGCACGACAGACACGGACCTCTGAAATTACACGCGATCCCCTCGCGAATATGTTTCGCGCTCGCAACCGCTCGCAACCGGTGTTCCGTGGAAAAGAAACGCAGCGAAATTCTAACTGCAGTCGCAGTTTGGTAATCTTATAGCCGACCCATCCTCGCGTCCCGTGCAAATGGCTAGATTCCACAAAGACTCGAGAGAAACGCGTGCTAAAACCACGCGCAAACCGCGTCGAATATCATCTCTCGACGACTCCGTTTCGACAGGGTACAGATTCGACGAATCGTTGCGTCACGAGAACGCAAAGAAGAAGAGGAACTCTGTGTGCACGTTCCACGTCGACAGTCCCACGTACTTGGAGATTGACCCTCTGTAACGGCACGCGCCCCATCCACCGTCCAGTTAATTAACTAATAAACTTCTAACGACCTACAACAACTCGGCTATTTCAGTTTACAAGCTCGCATCCTATGCTCTTGGCGTTCCACCGACTACGGTTACCGCGAACTAGAAAACTTGAACGAAATAATATGTGCGAAATGCGCACCTCGGGTCCGAACGATCTCTCGTTCCTTTCGTTCGACGTTCGCGGTAAATGAGATCTTTTTTGTCTATACTTTGTCGTACTCCGTCGAAAAGGCGCGTGTTTTCGGAGCAACGCCGCGTCGAACAGAAATCCGTGCGACGCGCGGAGCAGCCATTCTTGGCCGGGGCTTTTGTTTCGCCGTGAGAACAATCGGCGAGCTCCGAAGAGCGTGGTCGTGCCAGCGACGCGACGGGCCTCTCTGTATCGATCCTCCGTACATCTGCCGTTTCCGGCTGTTACTACCACCAAGGTTACTACCGGTGTTCCGCGAAGAAACTCCTCGAGCAACCGGAAACGCGAAATCCCGATCCGATCCGATCGCGCTCGGGTTGTCTCGACGACTCTGGTTTTTCCCTTCTCTCGATGTTATTCTCGACGGACCGCGCGTTAAATTCCCGCCCACGATTTCTCGCTCTGATTCGATGTAACTCGGTACGTCGGGATTGGTACGATTCGTCGACAACGAAACGAATTCCCAGACCGGGGCGGTAGGCCGAGGCCTTTCGTAATCGCGCGCAGCGATGAAATTTATAGAGCCTGTTATTATCGCTAATTACAGAGGTGTCGCGAGGCGGGCGACGAGACGCTAACCGATTAAAAAGCTAAGATCCGCATCGCACGCGCGTGTCGTTAAGCGACACGCAACCGCGGTAGACGTCTACGTCAGCCTTCTCCCGACTCGCCGATAAGTGCATTGACTTATCGCGCAACTTACACGACGGGAATGTAAATGATCGTGGGTTGGCGGTCATGTTTGCGACAAACACGGTTTCGGTTTCGGTGTCTCGATCTCGATAGCGAACCGTGGGTACGGCAGTTGATTGCGCGCATCCGAGAAATGCGGATCCACCGAGTCGCCAAGAGCAGCGATTTCCCAGCGAAACGAGCGTTAATTTCCCGGGCTAATTACTCTAATCTCGGCTGTCATCTCTGTGAGCGTACGCGCGCGCATCCATCAATCCGTAGTCCGTACACCTGGCCGATCGGCAACGACGACGCTGGCGCGCGCGTAAGATGAATTTATCATTTGGTTGTTCGCAGGGGTTCCTTGATCGAGGGACGCGATGGCGGTGTTTGGATTGGTCTCGGCTGTGGCCGGGTTCGTCAAGGTGCGATACCTCGTGGACAAGGCGATAATCGACAACATGATCTTCAGGGCCCACTACAGGATTACCTCCGCGATTCTATTCGCTTGTTGCATCATCGTGTCCGCCAATAATCTCATAGGTAAGCCCGAACGACTTTCTCTTCGAGTTTCCGTTTCGCTTCGGTCGTCGGAAAAGATTCCTTGTACGAAGAAACGGTACCTAACGACTCGGCTCGAACGATTGTTTATTCTCGTCCGTTGCTATTATCTCTTCCATGGGCGAATTAACGAGGAAAAATGATCCTCTTAGATGACGTACGCGCGGACGGTACTGGGTCAGAGATCTATTGACGATTGCATAAATGCAACGTGGGGCGCAGACGGTAGTGATTACGGTATAGCAACGCGGTGTCTCGTTTCGAGGACTCGTGCTTATTTATCGGGCAGACGTAACGTTACATCTGCTCGCTTAGGCCGCAGGAGGCCTCGAGATGAGATTTCCTACGGCGCAACGCGTCTATCGTTTTCCCATTTACGACGAGCTTATCGGTTGTCGTCCAGCGACTACAATAAAGCATCGTAGCGAGAACCGTTCCACTATTCTCCTTTTTCCGAAAGAAAAAGATAGCGCGTTTGTAAATACAACGGCTTCGATCAAAATAGTAACCCCGGAGAGGCAACTAATTCTTTTGTATCGGTTCGATCGTTCGATAGAGGATCGGTGAGTCAGCCGAGAAAAATTGTTTCGCAACTGATAGATCTAGATAGGTGAGTTACATCGAATCCTAAAGCAATGTTTTGTTCTCGGTTGGGGTTTATCGTCGCGCAGTCTCGCGATTTGCGAAAGTCTACAACAGCCCCGTGACACAATCTATTCACCAGCTGTGCCGAACGACGCGTTCCATCCTAGTCGGATGGATACGACGTTCGTTGCATAATCTAACGCGTGGTCGTGTTTGTAATCGAACCGATAAAACGCAGCTCGTTTAACGAGGTCAATTTACGATACAATGTCCGTTGATAACCGTCGTGTTTAGGCAAGCGAAAGTAAACGTGGGAGCCACGTTTCCTTCTGTGCGACACGTGCTACCATCCGTTTCGGTACCGTAACTTTTTCAGAACTCGATTCGCCGTTCTCGCTCGGTGTTTTTCTACAAAGATTACGAAGCGTGCGAAACGATCCGACGAACGAATATCATCGGTTCTCGGATCTTTGTTCCAGGCAAACTTTGGAATATCGATTCGTTTCCCTCTTTGTGGATGAAACCCACTCGAGGCTAACACGACGAGCATCCGAATGGCTAACGGCTAACGGAATAACGTTTAAAATGTTTGCAGGCGACCCGATAAATTGTCTGAGCGACGGAGGGGTAGAGGACAACGTGATAAACACGTACTGTTGGATCACGTACACGTTCACTCTGCCACGCAACGTCGGTAAGCCTGTGGGTACCCACGTGGCTCATCCCGGATTGGGTACCGATCTCGGCGAGAAGAGGTATCACTCGTATTATCAGTGGGTGCCCTTCATGCTGTTCTTCCAAGGTGTTCTATTCTACATACCGCACTGGATATGGAAGCAGTGGGAAGAGGGCAAGGTCAGAATGATATCCGAGGGCATGAGGGGTGTTATGGTCGATAACAAGCCCGAACGACAGGCCAAGGCCCAACGACTGGTCAAGTACATCGCGGACACGATGCACCTGCACAACACCTACGCGGCCGGCTACTTCTTCTGCGAGGCTCTCAACTTCGTTAACGTGGTAGGTGGTTATCGGAGATAAAGCGTTGTTCCCGTTTACGAACCGGTCGTAAAACCGTGAGCCTTTAATAACGCTCACGACTTTGCCGCGTTTGTTTCTCGGGCGAACGTGCGATACCGTGCAAGCCACGAATCTATTTCGTTTCCAACAAAAATCGTTGATACGTGTTTGTTTCAGGTGGGAAACATATTTTTCATCGACTCGTTCCTGGGCGGCGCGTTCTTGACTTACGGCACCGACGTGTTGAAGTTCAGTAGCATGAACCAGGAGCAACGCAGCGATCCCATGGTCGAGGTCTTTCCTCGCGTCACCAAGTGCACCTTCCACAAGTTCGGTTCTTCCGGGACCATCCAGAAGTTGGACGCCCTCTGCGTCCTCGCTCTGAACATTCTCAACGAGAAGATTTACATCTTTTTGTGGTTCTGGTTCATCCTCCTGGCAGCGCTGTCCGGTGTCGCTTTGCTCTACAGCATGGCCGTGGTTCTACTGCCCAGCACGCGGGAGACGATACTTAGGAAACGATTCAAATTCGGTACGGCCGCTGGCGTCAGCGCGCTCATCAGAGAAACACAGGTAAACGCGTCGATTGACGAAGCTTGAAACTCCCGAAAAAGAAGAAGAACCGCGCGTGGACGATATTCGGTACACGTCGCGACGCTTATGCGCTCGTTGTTTTATCGTTATGTAAATTTTCAGGTCGGCGATTTCCTGTTGCTTCATCTGCTGGGCCAAAACATGAACGTGATGATGTTCAACGAAGTGCTCGACGAGCTGTGCCGTCACATGCCTCTCGGATCCGCGAGCGGAGCGTCGCCCGCGTCCGTGCCTTCGGCGCCCAGCACCCTGGAGATGTCACCCATTTACCCGGAGATCGAAAAGTACGCCAAGGACACCGAGATCTAATCTCCGTGGGCCCGTTCGATCGCACTCTCCGTCTTTTACCCTTCCGTATTGTGATAACACCGAGGGTGGTCGCGCACCTTTGGTTTCGCGAGATAGATTTGCGCTATCACCGGCCATTCCGACTCGTCGTTAAAAAGATACGCGCGCAAAGGTGCAAAGTTCTTGCCATTCTTTTCTCCAACGTATCAACGAACCAACGATATTTGCTACCGTTCGACGCATACCACAATTATCGACGTGGCCACGTTTGAATCTGTCGTTGTTGAATTACAAATTGTTCGCGATTACGTACGAGTCGATGTCTGCGTGTAATTGGTGCAATTATCGTTTGAGCGAAGAATGTTACGTTTTGCAGAAATATTTAGCGTAAAGGAAATCTCATCGTAAGGATTATATTCGAGGACATTCCCAATTGTCCGCAGCAATATTCGTCGATATAGGTCGTTGCGAAGTAGTAGAAAATGTATAGACGTTCTCGTCGTATCGGAAGCGAGTTTGGAACGATCTTGAAATTAAATTCGAATGGACGAAAGTTTCGTAAATTCGCGGTTTCGTTTGAATCGCCTAAAACGTTGTAATCGTTATCCGCGAAAGACTCGATTCGATTATTTTCATAAATCAGGACTGTACGTCGATGGGTATAATTTTTTTTTTTTTTTACTTTGGTAATACTCGATTGCATACTGGTTTACCCGCATCGCGACGTCGAGTTTCGTTTCTAAAGTTGCGACGGTTACGTTGAAGAGAAGCTCCTAGCTTGACGTTAGCGTGTCTCGATAATTTCTCGTCGTCTCGAGAAGCTTGCGAAAACGAAGGGTTTCCAAAACGAAGCATAATAACGCTGGTAACGCGTGTTTATCGGCATGGAACTCGTTGCTCGCGTTCCATGCTTTCTCAGATCGTTCGAAAGAATGTCACGATGCTGCCGCTAAGAAAATAATGACAATACTACGACAATGATAACTCTATAACTATTCCGTAGTTTTCTTTTTTGTAGTACGTACGATTCGTTATATTACTACTATTAGTCGCGTTTCAAGTGATATATTAAGATAGACTTAGCTTAAGACGAACGAGACGGATGATATAGTTACGTAACGATTGTTCGCAATGTGCCTTCTTCGTAGGATACATCGACTACTTTAGAATTTAGAACCTTTAAAGGTGTTTAAAGAAAAGAAAAAAAAAAAGTAAAAATAAAATGCTCATTTGTAACGATCGCACCGGAGTCAAGACAAAGACTGCTAACACGTGCAACGTTAGATGTAAATGGGAAAGAAGAGAAAGATAGAAGAAACAAACTATCGTAGAAATAAAATATACTCTTTCTATACGACGTTGTCGGTGTATACATATAGGTTATTCGAGCGAATCGAGTTATCGTTCTCAATACGAACTCACCGATTTCCCCAGTCGACCTTGTTGATGATACGCAGCTTCAGTTCCCGCGTCTGATCGGTCGTCAGGGTGCCAGCCAATAGTTGTCGCCGCCATTCCAACAGCTCTCTCATCACCTTCCGCAGCGTGTTGAATTTGTAGTCTTCTCGTTCCTGGGTTAGGACGAGGAACCGGAAACATCTCTAATTAGTATCAAAGTACGCGCAAGTACCAGCGAGAAATCGTGCTACGAGCAGACACGAAGTTCGATCGTCCGCGAAACGATAAGTCGGCCCTCGAAAATTGATTCTTCCAAAGCGAAGAATGCTTCGGTTCCCTCGCGAGCGCGAGTCATCTCGTCAAAGAGGAGGGTACTCCGCCGCGATATTCGTCTCTCCTCTAATTTTCTCCCTGTCGCGTCGCGCGTCGACGAGAAATCCTCGCGACTATGAATTAATTCTTCGCGACTATGACTTAATGCTTTCACGGTACTTCCAGCGCATAATCGCGCGCAGTGGAGCGCACGAGACTCTGGGTGATTAAAAATTCACTCTTGAAACGAGCCCCGACGGTCGGTTCCCTTCCGTTCCTCGGGACCGCGTTGTTCGTAGCGAGAAAGTATGTCGCGAAACGACGAACCATTTATCCGCCGTCGCGGAAAAGAGCCGGAGCCAGACGACAAGGGGCATCGCGACGCGCCCAAAGAGCACACTCACCACGTAGAGCCTCTTCCAAATACCACCCCATTCCCGGAGAACGAGGGTGACTTCTCGGACCACCGGATCCTCCAGAGGTATCACCGACTCGAACAGACCTTCGTTCTCGATCTTGCAAGGTTTCAGGTGTATGTAAGAACTCGGGAAGATCCCTTTCACCGTGCGATTCTTGGTCGAAAAGCCCCTGTACCATCCTGCAACAAACACCGAGATCGATTCAGCTCGCTGCGGCTCGGAATTCCGCGTTCGAAACTGCCGATGTTCGCTCGTTCCATTACCTGCGCACTCTTCCAGAATCTGCACGGTCTCGCCGATTTCCAACGGGAGCCCATACCGTGTGTCGCCTCGCCAATTGTACACGGCTGCGAAAAAACATAGAACGCCACTGTTTTAGATCAACGGATACTAGCAAAAATCAGTCCTCTACGATAATAATAGCCGAGGATGATTGTACACGTTTCGACTCGAATTGTTTCATCAAAGATGAAAAGAGAATTGCATTATCTCGAGAGAGAGAGAGAGAGAGAGAGAGAGAGAGAGAGAGAGAGAGAGAGAGAGAGGGAGAGAGAGAGAGAGAGAGAGAGAGAGAGAGAGAGAGAGGGAGAGTGAAGACGGAGAAAAAGGTTCGGTGCTTGTCTTTTCGTGGAAGTGTCAGGCCTCGATAAACGAACTCGGGGGCACCGGATACGCGTAACGATGCACGCGCGACGAGCCAGCTTCCGGTCCTCCAGTGGAGAAACGTACGCGAGACGCATTCGAATGAGCCGGCGCGCGCGTCTCCGGCTCTCTTCGCTCCGCGTGGAAACGTCTCGCGCGTTTCGGAACCCAACCACGGAATGCGTATTACGCGTTTATCCGCCCACTACCATTCCGTCGAAACACGCTCGCAGATACAGCCAACGGAGTCTCGTTAATTTCGTGCCGCTTGTCGGCGTTGTTCGCCAAGTTTTCCGACCCACGAATCGGTTGACCGATCGAACGAAAAATTACCTACTCGTTGCAAATGTTCGACGTCGCTCGACGCCAACGGACCCGAACAAAGCCAGACGACGAAAGCTTCGCGGCGAAAGCCCCTACGGTTTTCCCGGAGAATTAAATCGATAACTCCCTTTCTCTCGTGTAAAACATTCGCGATAGGGGAGCGGATATTTCGTCGGTGCGACAGACACGGGGAAATTACGGCTCTCTCCCCGTATCTCGCAGGCGTTCCGCTTATGTTGGCTTTCCCGCGCGCGTACCGTAAATGTACGGGGTGTGCTCGATAATTCGGGGACACCCCCTATCGAAAACCGAACATCTACCGACCTTTCTCCTCCGGTCCACGATCGATACGCTGAAACGCGTAGGCTGTTTTCTTGGCAACCGTACCAGATGAAACATTTTAACGCGTCCGTGGAAATCTGATTTGCTGTCTCAACGATTGCCAACAAAATTTCCTTGGCTGGAGCACGTACGATTTCGGAGACCAAACGATCGTTTACTCGATCGTTGGTAAAAATCGAGCGAATGCGTAATTGACGGTTTGGAAGTTTATTCGATATCGCAAAGGGTGACTAGCTTACGCGAGGAGGAATTCGCGCGCGGCATAGCCGGGTGACTCCGAGTTCCTGACTCGTTGGCCACGGAATTTCGGTCTCCCGGCATCGGCGAGGGAGTATCGACGCTCGTTGCTCGTATATTCGGTCGAACGTGGCGAACGAACCGTAACCTCCGACACAGTTTCCAGAGTAACGAAACAAAAAGAAATTGGCGGATGAGCGAAACCGAAAAAGGAAAAAGTGTCGGTCGACGTTCGCCGAAGAGATATTCGTTTTCTGTTCGCGCGGAGAAGAGGAAGACGAGTGGAAAGCGAAAAGCGGTAGCTATCGCGGAAAGTGAACGCGTGCGTGCGTGCGCGAGTGCGTGCATAAATGAACGAGTAAACGAGATCGGAGCTGATATGCGGTAAACGACCGTGGCTTATCGACTTTCTTCGCTATACAACGTTGCATGATCGCGATAATGGCATGCAAACGCGCATCCGGCCCTTTCTTTAAAGTGCGATTACGCGATCGATCACGCTTATGCGAAGAATGCCGCGTCGCACGAGATATCTCGTAGATATATGTTTATGTTTTATCCGGCTTCCGATCGAGCTGGACTCCGTTCGTAATCCCGGGATACCACCGAGAACATCTCCCGCGACGAATTTTCAATTTTCTCTACCTGGAGAAAAACGAAAATCCATCGTTTCGCGAGAAAAGACGATCGTAATTTTTTGGTCGCCCTATAGAAGAACGCACACGCGGTGGTTTTCGTCCGCGTGGAAATGCCTCGCGACCTAACGACGGGAGGGCTGTAATGCCTCGGGGGTGCCTGGCACAAAAGCAGGGATGGACCCCGAAGAAACCGTAAACAATGACATCTGAAATCGTTCCATCGCCTGCTACCGATCGAACGTCACCCTGTTCGTGCGAGTTTCCGTCGCAAAGTAGAATTCCCATCTCGAGGCTAGAATGAACAACCCTAAGCGTCGTACACCTTGAAATATCGATACGGAGTACTTGGAATAGATATGCGAAGAACATCGCCAGGAAAATATATAACAAGAGTGCAGCGTCGGATATATAATAGAATATAAAAAACTGAAGCAACAAAAGAGTTCGAGAGCATCCTTGAAGATAATTTGCAAAAGATTGCCGTCCGGCGTAATTATCAGAGCTCCCGTCACACGTTCGCGATAAGTGATTAGATTTTCTAAAGAACTGTTCCTTAAAGGTCGAGTAATTGTTAATCCGTGCGCGATATACGGACGCTGCTCGAGTCGGGTCGGATTAATTGACATCGATCGGAAGGATGTTTCTCCGTGGCATAAAGAATCTACGCGACGCGAGGACTTTGATCGCGGAAAAAGAAGTTGAACAGGGAAATTAATATTTAGAAACGCTGTCGTGCTCGTTTTTCTTTCTAGTTCGCAGTCGATGAAAAGAAAAGGGAACGATCGACGAACAGGAAAACGGGACCCAAAGGGAAGCTGTACCGCTATCGGAAGCGCTGGTCGCGTTGACACGTAGATAGGTCAATGGCAACTGCAACGCAGAAAAGAAGCGTGGGCAGAGGGTGACGAAACATCGGCCGAGTGTTCGAGATTCGGCAAGTTCTGCGACAACCGACAGCAATTCGAGAGTCGGTAATGGACGAAACAAATAATACGCGGGAATAGGGCCGCGCAGATAACACCGTGGACAGATAGATTGGAAGATTATGGTTTAATCACGTCGCGGACGCAGGTTCGTCGCGCCGAAATAGCTTTATTGACACGCTATATCCGCCATGGTACGCGCTGCGAGTGTACTTATGCTCGCTTACAAAGTTCTTGATGTATTCGACGAGTTTACGAGATGCTGGTGTTGCCTCAACGATACGAAACAATGAACACACCTAGCTATCGCGAAGAGAATAGAGACGCGCAAAGATAACGGTCGAAAGAAATTGGAACCGGAAGCATGGCTTCGTCTTCGACGTGTTGCTTCGCGCAAACTTGGATAAGAAAACGACACGGTTGCGTCTTTTGTTGCTCGGCGAACGGTCCGCGAGACTTTCAAATTACCGTGAATCATTCCTGAGACTGATTTCCGAGACCATTTTGCGCGGCGACGCAAGATAACGGCGATCAGGTTTATTTGCAAGGCAAAATTTGCACCGGTACGCAATCCTGCCCGACGCTCCGCGGAATTGCGGAGACGTTGTTTCCCATGGATCGCTTAATCGTAACAAAGCAATCGAACGAGTTCAATGGAAAGAAATTCGCGATGACTCCACAAGAATCGCAACGCACAAGTTCGGAATGCAACAACGTGGCCTTTAATCGCGAAACTTGTGCAAGAACGTAATTCAAAGTCGAAGGTTGGTCGCTTTCGTGACACAATGTTTTCCGTCGGAAACTTTGAATCCGATCAGACGTTCTATCACGGACGAAATACTTATCAGGATAAGAGTTTCAAGCAACGAATAAACGATTTGTTTCTTAGTTTGTTCCAGATTTCGCAGATATTCTATAATATTTACTCCTTTGTTCGTCGAGAAGCGCGAAAGATAAATAGAAACCAGCAAACAAGATGTATGCGACTCTTTAAAATACATTGGACGAAATATGTTCCATCGAACGTAGAGTCCTTTCTTCCTTTGATAGGAGATGCTACACGGATCGATAATTTAATTTCCGTTATCGTCTATTATTCTTTTCCAACGTTCCTCTAGCTTTTCGACTCCCTTTCTCATGCAAATCTCGCACGTACGATACGGCGAGATATTTCGAGCGAAATTTCGGAATGAAAGTTAACGACAATTACAGTCGAACGAATCGTATCCCGATACCTTCGTAAATATTTTTAAAAATATTCCACGAGGTTGTCGAAAGTAACGTTTAACGAATATTAACGAATCGTGTACGTAGGCGATCGTTGTAGCGTCACCTTATAAAGAAAACAATAGTTGGAGGAATTCCTCCGGCTCGTCAAAGATCGTACATCCGTCCCCGGTAAACACGGACAGTGGCGCAAAAAAGTTTACGCGAAGTGGCCGATGCGCGCGTGTAGTGGTAGCGAGACAGTCAGCCAAAACAGACTTAAAACGGATGTAATTTAGAATGCTCCAGAACGAGATACGCTTCGTTTTTAAAGGATCATCAAACAACGCGTAACGAGATTAAGGCGAGAAGTTTGGTGTTTTTGGAGGAAAAAACAAGAGGAATCTTGGACCTTCCGGTTCCGACGCAAACCGCGCGCATCGATAAGTATCGTGGAATATTTGGTGTCAATTTCGTTTGGTAAGTATATGCGTGTATCGATACGATGTCCTTTGGACTGTGCGAAATCCAGAAGCTAATGGCAAGTCGGTCCGGCGTTGTTCGCTTTTTATGGGACTCTTAGTTGCTGTTACTCTTGCACGATCAATGCATGAATGGGTGAGTCGAATCACACGCGCACGCATACGGTCACACGACACGACGACGTTTCCGGGCGGCAGCATCACAGCCAGAGCGTATTAAGCGGCGTGCAGCCGAAAGATCTCAAGACGCTCGTTAAAATCATTGACACAAGGATTTCCGGTACACGACGAGCACCGTATCTACCGATCGTTAGCTATACGCGATGTTGTCGCGTCAAGGTGGATTCCTGACATCCTCGAAGAGTGAATATCGCGTAGGAATCACGCGGATAGAAAGCGTCGAGTTTGACAGATCCACAGGGTCGATGCCGCACGCGTTCGTCGCGAGAGAACGAATATTGGAAGGAACGAACGCCTACGAGAACTCACCGACGCCGTACTTGGTCGTTTTCGTGGTCGTCCACATCTCGAGCGGCTCGACGACGGCGCTACATGCCTTGCCAAATTGTCACGAACCACTCTCTCGGTATCACGAAAAATTCGAAAACACAAACATAGGGTGTGTGTTGCCGTACAAGTGCCACCCTTGAGGCTCTGTTTCTCTGCGCGCCGAGCAACGTTGCCGTTGGCTGCGACGAGCCGCGGCCGACTGTCGGCAACGCTGCCGCTGCTGCGCCGGTCACGTGCTCATCAGGACCGTGCCTAGTTCCGGCAAGATTCTATTCGTTTTTCTCCTACAACTTATCAAAATTATCTTTCCTGCGACGATAAAGGGATTTTCTTCCTTGTTCTTTACAAGCAGAATTAAACGAAACCGTGACGTCAAATACTATGTAATTAACGTTCTTTTGAAACGAATCGTACAGGTATGATTCTACTTATCGTTCGTATTGGGCATAGGGTACTAAATTTCAAATCTTGTAATCGAAACGCGACTTGTGAGATAGAGCAAAAAAACATCGATAACGCGTATATAGAAAAACTTATCTTTCTCCACGGTGAATAGTTTCGTTAATCGGGAGCTTATACGGCTTTACAAAAATCAATGTCGTACTTTCGAACGCTTTTGTAATGGAACATTAATTTATTTATAATAAATACAATAATCACAAAACAAAGGTAAACCTAATATAAAAGAAGTGATACTTTGATAAATTGCCTTATACTTTTATTTACAACTTTTTTTCTTATGTTATTAACCGATGACGAAACTCGCGCGCTAAACGTATAACGCAACGTAACGTTGGGGCGTAGACTAGATCGAAGCTACGACGAGTCAAAGTACGCAGATTTCTTGATTCTTGAATTCTTCGTGAAGGTATTTAGAAATTAATAGGTTTACCGAAAGACGCAGCTAAATTAGCTTCCTTCAAAGCCTCGGCGCACGTCTTAAAATAATAATAAAATCATGTATCGTTTATATACATATATCGAGCTCGATCAAATTTCGTTCGGGTACTTACCGGATGTGCGTGACACGTTCTCGCGACGTCTTCCGCGCTTGCTCCGTATTCCATAGCGAGGACAGCCTCGTTGATGAGTTCACCGGCAACTGAACCGATCATGTGGACACCTAATATTTTATCCGTACTCTTATCGGCTAAAACTTTAACGAAGCCATCCGTCTCCATATTCGTCTTTGCTCTGGAATTCGCCAAATGCGGGAATTTGCCAATTTTGTAGTCGATACCTTCCTTCTTTAAGTCTTCTTCCGTTTTGCCTACCCAACCAACTTCGGGATGTGTATATATTACGCTGGGAACGCAATTGTAATCGATATGAACGGCACCTGAAGATAATGTATTATCGCGATCGATATCATTTTTCCATGTTACGAACGAAACATTTCAAGATCTATCGAATACCTCCGGTAATGCCCTCAACCGTAATAACACCCTCTTCTTCCGCCTTGTGAGCCAACATTGGCCCGTGAATGCAATCTCCGATTGCAAATATTCTAGATGATGCGATGATAATTTAATTTTCAGTATTACATAAACTAGCACAAGATTCGGTAAAGTAGCTTCTACTTACGAAGGTACCACTGTTTGAAATCTGTTATTAACAGGGATCCTGCCCTTTTCGTCCCTTTCGATTCCCAAATCTTCTAGACCTAAATTTTTCGTGTACGGCCTTCTACCAACGCAAACTAAAAGAACATCGCACGGCAGATCCTCCTTTTTACTAGGATCTTTTGCATTTTCAACGGAAACTACAATTTCGTTGCCTGATTTTTTGGCGGCAGTAACTTTAGTACCTAATTTGAAACCGACGCCCTGTTTGCTTAAAACTTTTTGTAGCGTCTGACTAACTTCACCGTCGATACCTGCTCCGCCGATAGTTGGCATAAATTCGATTGCGGTTACTTCGGAGCCCAACCTAATACAAAGATCAAATGTAAGAACGAAGAATGTCACAATAATGGTCTTACTTAGATATTCACCTTTGCCAAACAGAGCCTAGTTCCAGACCAATAACTCCAGCGCCGATTACTATGAGTCTCTTAGGAACTTGACTGAGTGATAACGCTCCCGTAGAGGAGACTACCTGTTTCTCATCGATTTCTATACCAGGAAACGGCGAGACTTCACTGCCAGTTGCAATTATAATGTTTTTAGTATTAATTGTGCTTAACACTGACCCATCCGGACCAAGCGCGGTCACCTGGTTTTTACCAGTAATTTTTCCATGGCCCTTAACCCATTCGACTTTATTCTTCTTAAAAAGTCCAGCGATACCACTGGTCAAAGCTTTCACCACGTTACGCTTTTGTTCCATCACTTTATCGAGATTAAGTTGAACATTTTGAACTAAGATAAGAAAGCAGAAGTTGATTAGTTGTTTCTAGACAATGATAAAATATCATAGGAAATTTAAGATATATACCTATAATACCACGATTTTGTAAGTCTCCGCTATGTGCCATGTGATAGTAATGCGAATTATTTAAAAGAGATTTCGATGGAATGCATCCAACGTTGAGACAAGTGCCACCTAAAGTTTCTTCTTTTTCTACGCAAACTGTTTTCATTCCTAACTGTGCAGCTTTAATCGATGCTACATAACCACCGGGTCCTCCGCCGATTACTACAAGATCCGCTTCTACTGTGCTAGAGTACATACGTTGCTGTGCAGCTGTCAAGCCTGGTATGACTCGCTTGACGCATATCGGCTGGTGGAAACAAAAATACGAGGAATCTATTACTCGAAAAAGAATTTATTCATCTTCCACCATCTATGCAATATCACTACATATCTACTTAAAGAATAGAACGAAGGTGACATAACCAATGAATCGAAAGGACCGTGCTTTTACGTGTAACAATAAACTAAAATAACCGCTTTGATCGTTGGGAAAGTTTGACAAGCATTTCAGTGAAACGAAGAAATTACGACAAGAGAGAATAGACATGTTATACGACATAGTGTGTGGCAAAATAGTTTGTCCTTCAAAATGTTACGAAATCCGAGTCCGAAATGAATGGTACGATACGCGATCATGATTATATCCGTGATATTTTTCTGAAAAACTTACTCTGACAGAGGTGGTGACCAAGTTCCAAAAATTAGCTTGCATCATAACTTTTTTGTAGTTACTTTACTTTCTGATATAAAGGGGGTCAAAAATGAAACGGTCTATCAGCAGCAAACGGCAGTGAACGACAGCGTTAATGCAACCACTACCGGTTATTTCAATACCGTCTAGCTCGTCTGAGTTTGATAATTCTATATATCGTCGACTACGTACTTCAAATGTCTTTCTGTTCGATGGCGCTAGTAAACTGTTATGCAACGCAAAATCCCAAAACGAGATGTATGTTGCATATCAAGTGCCCGCTAAATGCTGTATTTTCACCAGCCACGTCCTACACAGATTTCTTACGAGGAGCTCGAATTATTAGTATCAGTATAATTCACATGCATAATTAATTCGACTCTTTGCTTTACAATACTACAATGTAGTAGCTAATATGATAAGTTTATCATTTTTATGAATAATTATTTCATGTTTTCTTGACCCTTTTTATAATTCTTATTTGCCAATCCCCGCGGTGAAAAGAACGAAGTAATTTTGTAAGCTAAGATCAGAACCCTTGGTATTTTGCACTAGTGGCGCCATCGGTGGAGAAACGTCCAAGTTTGTAGTAAAAATAGTTCCCACAGTTACTATTAGATGGCGTTATACGGTATTATTCTCGTCGCCATCTAGTGTTGAAGAGGCCAAACTAATTTTCGGCGCCATCTAACAGTAAAATAAGGAACTAATCGAGGACAGGATTCGGGCGTTTGTCCACCGATGGCGTTACTAGTGCAAAATACTAAGGGTTCTGATCCAAGCTTCCCAAATTAGTTCGTTCTTTTAGCCGCGAGATGGCGATACCGATTTGTGGTCCATGAAACGGAACGCAGGTGCATATATATGTATATTCTATCATCACTCTAGGGTCTTGCAGGGTCTTGGCTGCCGAGAAAAAGGGGACACATTGAAAAACAGTCTCATCCTTGTTGTACAGTTCCTTCTAAACACGAAGTAATGTAAATGGTGAAATGCCGCTTTACAGATCACGAATGGGAACGAAAAGGGTAGAAACGACGAAAAGAGTCGGAGGAGCAGCGACTAGGGGTGCACCACTGGTCGAGAGAAAAGGGCAACAGATGTCCTTCCATGTGACGCATGACTCGTTTGGCCCTTGGCGAGATAGTATTGTTCGCGTCTCTCTAGCTTACGGAAGTATCGTGCGTTACGAAACGACGTTAGCCCTGTCCTTAGGAGAAACAGTGGTCTGAAACCGGTTGGTACCTACCGTTTCGACGAAACTAATAACGTTACCATAATTTAAGACCGAACAATCCTACAAATCGATTTTACCGCCAGTTTTTATTTCGTGTTTCTATCAGTTTCACATTTGTCGCGTGTCGCATCCAACGTAACGAGTTGGACGCAAGCAGAGTAGCTTAGTCCAGTATCTTTCGTTCGAACGTACAAGTAACGTAACGATTGAAGGCTAGAAGGAACGAAACAATGAAGGATTTGATCTACTCGCGTTGAAATAGATGATAAAGGAAATGTGCGAGATAGCCAAGGCCCAACGTAGAACGTTTCGCGATCAGGACCCTCCGAGAATACGTAACGCAAGTGACGGTAACACGAAAAACGAGCTCGAGTTTTCCGAGTCGACACCGAATTTACCGACGATTCATCAACGTGCGTCGAGTTTCGAGAAATGTTTCAGCGAATCGATGTTTCTTGAGAAGGACAGGGAGAATTGGAAGAACCCGAAAGAAGATTCGACGACACGAGAGAGTATCTCCAATTCCGTTCGGGACGATAGCGTCGGAGCATCCCATACAGGCGAACAGTGTGACCTTCCGAGCATCAACAACTTCTCAAAGACAATCTCTGATAAAGTGTGTTCGTCCGGGCGTCACGACGGCGAGGTACGTTAGCACTGGTTTCTTCCGACGGAGAATCGTTCGAATACAACATTTCGTAAAGGTATCATCGGTCAGTGTAAAAGAGAGAGTCATCGGATTTTGCGACGAGTTATGGTCGCGTGTGTTCAAAGGAAGATTAAAATCACTCGAGCGAATCGTCCTTGGGGTTAACGCTTTTACTCTTGTAAGCGAGAAGTTTCGCGGGGAATTTAATTATGCTCTCAATGACGTTGCACATTTGCACGTGTCAAGTACAACCCGCTCGATACACGCTTCATAAATTCTTGCGCTTCTTTTAAATAAACGACGTACCTCCAAGCCCGACTAAAGTTTACCAGCACGAACGATAGATGCTTCCGTTCGGAAATTCTCCGAACGGGCTCATTTACCGTGAAATCCGTGGCGATTGTGCGACCGCAGGGCCCTAAGATGAATTAGGTGCGGACCTGGAAGATGCGGGCCTCGGGTCCGTTGCAGGTTCTTTTCCATCGAATGCCTTCCTTTGTGCGGAATTCGATTTAAGTTGAATTCACACCGAGCTCCGGCTCGCGCCAGGTAGACGTCAATTTCTTACCTTCGATTTTACGTTTACGCTTTTTTCGACGTAGTTCCGTATTCTTGTCCTCCGATAGAAAGTTGAGTTGTCGGTTTACTTTCGTGATATATTTTCCGATCGACAACGCTGTATCGGTATCGCGACAAAGTCTCGTACGTATCGTATAGTTTGGCGCCATGTAAATCTAGGACTACAAATAGCACGTACCGTAACGTAAATTAACTCCGAACGTGCACACTCGCAACACAAGGAACAAGGGCATTGACCGGCTGCGTTAAAATATTGACGAGGAACCTGGTATTTCGGGGCTGTGTAATTATGGACTCGGAGAACACAGATGCGAACCACGACTCGATAAATATTTAATCGGCACTTGGCGAATTACGCCCACCGTGAATTTTTCTTCGCGCCGATGGATTGCTATTTCGAATCTTGTCTCGTTTTCAACGATCGAATCCGTCGCGTCGAAACGGTTGCGTACACGTTTCAATCGCTAGAAATTTGTGTTCCACCGTGGAGATTGGCTGTGCGCGCAGCATTCGGTGTGAAAGCAGCTTATTAAGGTCGGGCCTAGGTTGGTGTTGCGGTGCAGCTTGCCTGGCAGCTTCAGTTCGATGTTTACGCTCGTGCTTTGAACATTTTTCTCTGGTGAGCGTGCTTCGTTCGCGGCTTCGTGATTCCGTCGAGCAGTGTCTTTTCTCCTGGAAAGGATCTTCGGTGTTCGTGCATCCGTAATTCTTGGACGTTCCAGTGAGTGCTTTTTAGATGAATATTTTCCATTTAAGTTGTACGTTTAATCCAAGTTTACGAGGCGTTACGAGGTGACCAACGGTCTGTTATCGAGTAAACGTCGAAAAAGTTTCGACGTTCGAGTAGCTGTTGCTTCCGTTCACCTACCGAACGAATCTATCTATATGGAGAACTATATAGAACGATCTATAGAATCCAACGTAGTAAGCGTCACAGCTGATGGCGTGCAACGCTGTGACGATTTGCCCTTGAAATTTGGTCCTTTCGCGTGGTTTGCGACACAAGCGACACGCAAGGTGCCGCGACCACGCTCGCGCGACAATTGCCGCCTGCGTTTCGCCTCGGCGTCGCGCGTCGCGCGTCCTGTCGATCGAAACGCGTCAGCTCCGCACCATCGACAACGCCGTGACGCGTAGTTGCATAACGCGTCGTATTTGCATGTCGGGTCCGCGTGCCACACCCACGCGTTCCTTGGATCGCGAAAACGAAATTCCTTGGCTGTTTCATAAGGAAAATCGTTACGCGTGAACGTCGATAATTGCGAAACGCGACGCTTTGGCTGGCCACCGTCGCGTCGCGGTCTCCGGTCGCGGGTTTCTCATTCAATTCCCTGGTGAATGAACTTTCTCCTTTGTCGTGGATCGGTGTTCTCTCGTCGATTATTTGAATCGAGCCGTCGAAATTCTCGCGCGATTACGTTTTCGCTTTCGTATTCGAATTTATCGCGCGATTTCGAAAACACACGCGGAACAGCTGTTCGATCGAGGAATTCCATTCGCGCGAATTTATCGCGAGTTTCACGTAACGAGATCGAGGCTGTTCGTAATTTCGAGGCGATTTCTTTTGGTTTTACGAGCCCCGATCGGCTCGCCGGAGTACAATCGCGGAAATCTTGGTATCTATCGTTAAATAATCGAGTGGAACGCGTAGTTTTTTGTTACAGTTACAGAGGAAACGAATTGTTTTCCGGAACCATGGTGTTTCTTCGTTTATCTCGCCCTTCTTCTACTACTTATCTTAACGTATCTCGAAGACAGATTTAAGTCCAATGACAAATTTCCTTTTAGACGAGGCCGTTAGTTAAAGGAACGTTCCTTTTTCAGTCAACACGTCGCGCAAGAGGCGACAGAATTGTTAACGATAAGGTTTTTATTTGTCGGTCGTCGTTGCGACTTATCGCGCGATCGTTACCTAAATGACGCAGATGGACGAATAAATATTTATTCGTTACGTAAACGTAGAGCGTGCTTGTTCCGAGAGAGATGCGTTCGATGCTCGAAATATCGTACGTTGATAAAAGGAATGATCGCTGTTTAGATTTTCCTCGGATAGTCGGCGCGGCATGAGTACGCGCGTGTATAACTGGCCGATATAGACGGCTAAAAATTTATAAACCGATAATTTAGCGGCGTTGGATACATCGCCGCGCAACGATCGAGATAAATGGCCGGTATACACTTGGAAAGCACAGGACTACCAGTTTCGCAGCATTAATTAACCGACAAACTGGTTGCACCGCGTTCGAAACTAGATTCCATACGCGAGGTTAGCCGTAAGGCACTCGGACCGCCAACTCATTTCCAACAATACAAGGCGATCAACGTTTCTAAAATGTACAAGTCGATCGCGTTAGCAAGGAAAACGTGTTTCAATTCACCTAACTACATTGACCCTGCTCGGCGTTGCTCCGTTCGCGTTTAGTTCGTTTCGCGCAACGCGGCGCGTGTTAACGAGTTTCCGATGATGCAAGATTTTGAACGAAAAAAACAAATGGCATCTTTTTTATTTATTTTTTTTTTTTTTTCAAGTTTATTTCGTCGAATCAAATCTTCGCCGAGTAATAAAAGGATTGAACGCGTCGCAGGAAAAGCGATCGAATAACAAGTTTGGTAAACAAGTCGGGATTATTACGAAATTCGGCTCGTACGCGTTCCGTTCGTTTAGATACCTGAAAGCTTTACACGCGCTGCGATTTTCCCAAGAACGTTCGTTCGCTTCCAGCTTCCACCCTTGCCGAGCTAGTCGG